AGCCATTGCCAAAGTACAACTAAACTTAGGAACAGAGGGAGATTGGATCGAACAAGGATCATAAGATCAAGGAGCGGGAGAAGCTTCCCTAGTTTCGTAGGAATCTGAGCTTATCCAGTCAAAAGCATCCACAAACAATTGATTGTTTTTCGATTTTATAAGTGATTATTTATTAAGAAAAGGACATAGGTCAAAATGAGTTTACTGTGGAGGAGCGGACATGAGTCTTCATCCATGTGCTGTGTAGCAAATCATGTGCACAGTTCCTATGCTTGACTCGGTACATGATTGGAATCAAAGAATTTCAAAAATATTAGTTTCCTAATCAGATTCAAAGTAGCCTCCCAAATTGAATATGGATGCTTATCTCGAGGTTAAAGGAAAACTATGAGTCGCACCGGAATTACGTAGGCCCGGGGGAAAGTAATAAATAAGTCTTAAATCTATTGCATTAGTGTCAATTCAGTTATAAACCTTTCAATTATGCCAATTTAGTTCTAAACATTTTTCATATTTTGTTAATTGAATCCATCTGGCCAATTTTGACTGGAAATCGATGATGTGAATGCCAGACATCCTACGTGCCACGGCCTACGCTGACGTAGACATTTTTTAAAAATATTTTGAAATTTTTATACGTGTTTGCTCTTTTCTCTCTTTTTAATTTATTAATCTTTGTTTCCTTCTTTCCTTCCTTTCATTTTGGTCGACGAGGGCCAGCAAGCCCTCGACGGCTGCTAGCGAGGCAAAATGAAAGGAAAAAAAGGAAAGAAAAAATAATTCAAAATTTATTTTGCAAAAATTGTTCACGTCAACGTCGGCCGTTCCACGTAGGACGATTGATGTCCACATCGGGGATTTCCAGCCAAAATTGGCCGTATGGGTTCAATTGGGAAAATGTGAAAATATTTAGTATTAAATTAGTCCTTTGAAAGATTTAGAACTGAATTGACACAAACGCAATAGGTTTCGGACTTCTATAGTATTTTCCCCCATAAGCCCAGCATACGTTTATCCGCCGGATCATGCGGACCTATGCACGAAATCCATATGATCTGGCGGAGGACATGCGCTAACCCTGCCGTATCGATCCATGCAATAATGTCCCGTGCCTAAGAGGGCAATCGACACTCGATCGGCCCTTGACTTCAGCAAAGAAAAGGAAAGAAAAGAAAGAAAGCGATCTCACTTCAAGACCGAGTCGACGGTCCTCGAGTCGCCAACGTAAGTATCACTCTCCTCCTCCGGGCAAAAAAAAAGAGCATAAGTTGATGCGACCCTAGTGCAAAGAAAAGAATGCATGCACCTCCTCTCTGACTGAATCAAAGCTCCACCAAACGATGGCAACTCGCGAGCACCTTCTCAATTCAATCCCAGTCGCCCCCGCCTTACTTAGAAGTCAAAAAACGAAAGCATCTAGCTGATGGAAATTCAAAAGCTTGTGGCTGCTTTTTGAGATGGAGTAGTCCAAGGGGGATCTCAACTTGGCCAAATCAAGAGGTGAAAGAGGTACAACGACCATTCTATTTCATAAGTAAATTATGGACTATTCCTATTCCAAGGATGAGTTTCTAAGCAAAAAAACGCGTTTGATAACGATACAAAATTTTTGTTCCCGAAACAAAAATTTATTTGATAACGGCGAAAATTTCTCCCTCCCGGATGGTCGGCGAGTGGACGACGGGCGGTTAAAATTAATCAGATGGACTCAATTAATAAAACGTAAAAATGTTTAAGACTAAAATTGAAAGGTCAATAATTGAGTGCCATCAGATCATGCGGACCCCCGTATGAAATTCATATGATCTCATGGACGACGTACGTTAACCCCGACATATTGGAGCATGCAATAATGCCCCGTGCGTAAGAAGGTAATGGACACTCGATTTGTCCTTTTGACTTCAGCAAACAAAAGAAAGAAAGCGATCTCACTTCAAGACCGAGTCGACGGTCCTAGAGTCGCCAACGTAAGTATCACTCTCCTCCTCCAGGGAAAAAAAAGAGCACAAGGTGATGCTACTCTAATGCAAAGAAAAGAATGAATGCACCTCCTATCTAACTGAATCAAAGCTCCACCAAACTATGGCAACTCGCGAGCACCTTCTCAATTCAATCCCAGTCGTCCCCGCTTTACTTAGAAGTCAAAAAACGAAAGCATCCAGCTGATGGAAATTCAAAAGCTTGTGGCTCCTTTTTGAGATGGAGTAGTTGAAGGGGGATCTCAACTTGGTCAAACCAAGAGGTGAAAGAGGCTAAGGGCGCGAATCACAACCTTTCTATTCAAAAATCAATTTCTGGCTAGAAATAAATTTTTCTATATCTATTCCAAGAATGAGTTTCTAAGCAAAAAAATGAATCTGATAACGATACAAAATTTCTATTCCCGAAACAAAAGTTTATTTGATAACGGTACAAAATTTCTCCCTCCCGGGTGGCCAACGAGTGGACGGAAGCGGGCGAGCGGCGAACGGCAATGGGTGGCAGATGGCAACGGGCGATGGGAGGGGACGGCGTGGCTATTGCAGAGGACGGCGGTAGGAGGCGGCCGATGTCGAGCGATGGCAGGACGCGAGCGATGGCCGGCGGCAGCAAGAGGAGGGCAATGGCAAGAGGAGGGCGGCTAGCGGCGGCGGGAGGTCACGAACGGCGGGAAGCGGTGGACGGCGGACGATGGGAGGCGATGGACAACGGGTGGGCGACCGGCTAGTAGCAAGGGCAAGCAATAAGAAGAATTTTTATTTCTCATTTTTGTTCCAAAAATAGAAAAGTAGACAATTCTTACTTCTCATTTCTGTTTTAAACCTATTTCTGAAATCAAAATTTGTTCCAGAAATAGAAAAATGAAATTGCGTTACCAAATGGATTTCTGTTCCAAACCTGTTCTCTCTGAAACAGAAAAATAGAAAAATAGAAAAATAGAATGGTTATTATTCGCAACCTAAGCGTGCTTGTGGCTGCCCTAAAATGACCGAATTCGAGACTAGTATTAGTGCGTTGGACTGTGCTAATCGCAATAAATCATGAAAGCTCGTAGCTGGTCGTTCTCGCATTGAATCTTTACAATTTGATTAGCTATATAAATCATCATAGAAAAAAAAAATCTAAAAGTCTCTGACAGTCCATGCGATTTGGACAGTTTTTTTCTAGTAAAGATCCGGCACGCGTAGCATTATTTCGCGTTCTGCTCTCTTTTTATAGGGTTAATACCGCGATACACCTATGACAATTTTACCCCAAACTAATTTTTTTATCACAAAGATTTCTAAACTCGTATACCTATCATAAATTTATCATAAACTAATTTTTTTATCACTAAAAACTTCATACTGGTACATTTGTGACAAATTTACCTTCCATTTAATTGAATTAATATAAAAAAAAATCACAAACTAGTACATCTGGGACAAACAGAGGGTAAAACCCTAAACTGGTACATTTATCAACTGTCAAGCGACATTTAACTAAGCAATTTGACAGTAAAATTTAATGGAAACTGACGGAGGAGGGTAAATTTGTCATAGGTGTACTAGTTCGGGATTTTTGGTAGTAAAAAAATTAGTTTGAGGTAAATTTGTCACAGATATATTAGTTCGGGATTTTTTGTGGTAATAACCCTCCTTTATATGAATGAGCTTCACGAGCCAATTTCTGGCAATCGATGGAACAATGTTTTTCAAGATAATAACCTGCATATTTGGTTTCAAATATCTAAGCACAATGAAAAACATTTTCACAGTTGGATGTAGTGCTCTAATAGGGACAAGATTCTCAAAGTAGATTCATCTATCTAGCTCAACTTCTCTGGCCTCCTAGGTTGTCATCTTACTTAGAACGTGTCCTCACCGATATTAACACCGCCATCGCCTCTTATGCGAGTTCTAAGTTGCTTTTTCCTATAAAACCATTCTATTTTGTGAGTTTTATTAATGAATGTTCCATAAACACCAGTTAAACAATCCATCGAAGAAACTTTACAATTTGTACCCCTGAAAACCGAATCGATCTAATGAAGTATATAAATCTTGTTGACGAGTGCCTTTGAGATGCTTGATAATCATATCATTAAAGAAAAGTTCTCATCTCCGATTCATAAGTTACTTATAATGCAAGATAGACAAAATACTAAAAAATGATAACTTTTTTCACAATTGGGTTATCTAAAGAGTGCTTCAGGAGCACTCGGTTTACAAAATCGAAAGTATATTCATTAAATATTCGCAGCGCGCTAGCCAATAGAGTCCAATTTCTATGTCTGGTCCAACTCAAAAGTGGGGTCATGTGACAAAACTGATGCCTCCTAATTAATTTATAAACAATGTTCCTCCTTGGAACCCCACCATCCCACGACTTTGAGCCTTCCTAGAATTTAAAAACAAAATAGCAATGGCAATAGTGATGATTAAGGGGAGTGGAGAAACAGATAGAGTGGGTGAACAATACATTACATTTTTTTTCTTTTCTTTTTTCCTTTGTAAAAATCAACTTTTTAAAAAGTTTTCTCCAAAACAAAGCATAAAAAACCATTTTTCTTGAAATATATAATCATTAAATTACATAAAAAAGCACCGACTCTATCTATATAGGGTTGAAATTTTTCTCCCATTATCGCACATTTATATTCTCATTATACCCTCATAAGCATATTATAATTACATTTATATTCTCATTATACCCTCCTAAGCATATTATAATTTTTCTTTTGATATGTCATATCTCTAATTTCCGTCACTTTTTTTACTTTTGCTTTGTCTCTTACGAAAACGTCGGAGTTGAACACCGCACCTGTGATATTAGCGTTCTTACCCCTCCAATTACCTTACCAGCAGAGTCGCATGTTTATTGGCAACGTATTCTAATCAAAGCATGACATTTTCAATTGAAATATGCGATGAAAATATAGATCGAGAAAATATTGTAATATATATATCAAAACCATGATGGAAAATACATTTCGTATCGAAATTGACCGAGGAGGGCCCCACTCTCTCCCCATCTCTTTCACCAAATCCTTATTTCCGCCGAATAAAGGCCGCCGATCACAGTCCTCCGCCGCCACAGCGCGAGCTCGTCCCCCTCCTCTCACTTCCACAGCTCCGACAGGAATCTCTCCCACAACCATGTCTCCATCTTAGCACCCTTGAAACCCTAGACCGCCATGGCTCCCCTTCTCGTGCTCCTCCCTCTCCTCGTCTCCCTCTCCTCCGTCCCCCCCTCCTCCTCCTCCTCCCAGGACCCCGCCGCCGACCTCTTCTTCCCCGGGTTCCGCCGCGCCGCCGCCGCCGGCAACATCACCCTCAGTGGCGTCGCCGAGATCGACGGCCGCGGCGTCCTCAGGCTCACCAACGAGACGGGCCGCCTGATGGGCCACGCCTTCTACCCCTCCCCGCTCCGGTTCAAGAGCTCCCCGGACGGCGGCGTCTCCTCCTTCTCCGCCTCCTTCGTCTTAGCTGTCGTCCCCGAGTACCCGAAGCTCGGCGGCCACGGCCTCGCCTTCGTCGTCTCTGCCGCCAGGGACTTCCGGGCCCTGCCCAGCCAGTACCTGGGCCTCCTCAACGCGAGTGACATGGGTAACTCCTCCAACCACCTCTTCGCCGTCGAGTTCGACACCGTCCAGGACTTCGAGTTCGGCGACATCAACGACAACCACGTCGGGATCGACATCAACAGCCTGGTCTCCAATGCCTCCGCTCCGGCGGCCTACTACGCCGCCGGCGATGACTTGACCAAGCTAGATCTGAATCTGAAGAGTGGGAGGGCGATTCAGGCGTGGGTTGATTACGATTCGAGCGAGAAGGTGATCAATGTGACGATTGCTCCTAGCTCAGTGAAACCCAAGAAGCCAATCTTGTCTTTCAACGTGGATTTGTCGCCGATTTTCAGAGAGTTCATGTATGTTGGGTTCTCTGCATCGACTGGTCTGCTCGCGAGCTCTCATTACGTGATGGGTTGGAGTTTTTGCATCGACGGGGTAGCCAGAGCTCTTGAGATTTCGTCTCTGCCACCATTACCAGGCGCCGAGAAGAAGCATCCCCACACAGCTCTAGCAATAGGAATCTCGGTGTTATCAGTTGTTCTTGTAGTGTCTGCGGTTCTTCTTGCGGTCGTGATTGTTCGGAGGATCAAGAACGCCGATGTGGTCGAGGAGTGGGAGCTCGAAATCGGTCCCCACCGATTCTCCTACCAAGAACTCAAGCAAGCAACCAATGGGTTCAAGGAAAAACAGCTTCTCGGGCAAGGTGGGTTCGGCAAAGTGTACCGGGGGACCTTGCCAAGTTCCAAGATCCAGGTCGCGGTGAAGCGGATCTCGCACGAGTCGAAGCAGGGCCTCCGCGAGTTCGTGTCGGAGATCTCGAGCATCGGGCGGCTCCGCCACCGGAACCTGGTCCAGCTCCTGGGCTGGTGCCGGAAAAGGGGCGATCTTCTGCTGGTGTACGAGTACATGGCCAACGGGAGCTTGGACATGTACTTGTTCGACGAGCCTAAGGCCACTCTGGTCTGGGAACAGAGGTTCCGCATAGTGAAGGGCGTCGCTTCAGGGCTCCTCTATTTGCACGAGGGGTATGAGCAAGTGGTCATTCACAGGGATGTGAAGTCCAGCAATGTGTTGCTGGATGACGAACTGAACGGGAGGCTCGGGGACTTTGGGCTCGCGAGGCTGTACGATCACGGGTCGAACCCGGGCACCACCCGGGTTGTGGGCACGCTGGGGTACTTGGCCCCGGAGACCCCGAGGACCGGGAAGGCGAGCGCGAGCTCGGACATGTTTGCGTTCGGGGCCTTCTTGTTGGAGGTGGCTTGCGGGCGCCGGCCTATCGACCACGAGGCCGGGCCCGAGGAGCTGGTCCTGGTGGATTTGGTTTGGGAGAGGTATAAGGAAGGGAGGGTCCTTGATTTGGTGGATCGTAAATTGCAGGGTGAGTACAACGAGGGTGAAGTGATGGCGGTGTTGAAATTGGGGCTGCTGTGTTCGAATTGTAACCCGACGGAAAGGCCTACGATGAGGCAAGTGGTGAGGTACTTGGATGGGGAGGTGGATGTGCCCGAGGTCGCGACCGCGCCGAGCGGCTACGATTGCACGAAAGCAGGCCAAGGACACCGGTTCGAGGATTTCCAGCTCTCCTTCCCTTCGTCCTCCTTCGACAAGATGAGCTCGACCTCCTTCATGGCGAACCGGGACGCCAGTTTCGCCTCGCTTTCGACTTCCCCTATCTCGATCCTCAACGGTCGAGGCGAGAGCGCGTAGCGACTGAACTACTAGAGTCGGGAAAACCCAAAGAAAGAAGAGACAGATTCAATTATTTTGCATTCGTTTGCTCCTCTCTTTTCCCTTCTTCTGCGTGACTGATTGAATTTTTTTCTTGTTTTAAGTTACGGATTTGTACCGAAAATGTACCATATCTTTGTGGTTTTCGTTTCTTCGCCCTTTGAATCGAACGACGAAATCGATACTCGACATCGTAACTCAAGAACGGAACGGACGACCTTCCTTAAATCAATCCCATCGCGACATTAACGGGAAAAAGAGCAAAGAAAAGCACACTTAACTCAAACTTAACATGACATAATCGGAAGGGAAAACTAAAAATGCTCGATTGAGTTAGCCTATTCGGGGGGTCCGGGCGACGTTCCCAGAGGAATCGACGTACAACCTGACCCGTTGCTGGTTGAAATCCATGGTGACGAAGGTGTTGGGTGGAATGACCTGGACTCGAATCGCATCTCCGATCTCCTCTTTGATTTTCCTCTCAGCTCCCTCCGCCGTCGATCCCACGAGCTCGGGCCACGTCATCTTCTTCGGCGCTGCGTTTGCTCCACCTGAAAAAGAAACGGTTCGTTCTCGTCACTGCTGTTTCATGCGATGATCTCCCTTTACGAATCTTTCCTTAACAATGCAGCAAAGTGGCCGGACGCATCGTTGAAAAATCGAACTCCGTTACCATGGAAGTGGGACATCATGGATGACTTCGTGTTATGACATTGTTTTATATGCGCAAAAAGCATACTTGATATAAAGTGGATAGGAAAAGCAGACCCATTTTCAAAGCGATGGTATTTTAATGTGTTAAAAGTGGCTGCTCATATTGGACCAATTGGTGAATCGGGTCGAAGCGTGCCTGTGCTTGTGACATGTCGTGCGCGTGCTATGCTTGTGTTTTACCTGCCCCTTTCTGTGCGCACTCTATGTTGTGACATATAGTCTTGTAGAGTGAAAACTATAGAGATTTGAGATTGAAATTCTCACCGAGCAAAGGATTGAGAGCAAAAGTGATAGAGAACGAAAATGTTTGAGGATTCCGGTAGGGTAAATTTAGGGTATTTATAGGAACAAATAAATAGGAAATAGAGGTAAAGATAAGAGAGATCAAAACCAAAATTAACAAGCAAAAGATTGCACGCTTATGGAACAATCAAGAAACCATTGGGCGCAACGACCATATAGCTAAATATTGGCCGGTACTTCAACAACTAAAATGAATTTAAGGGGGGAAAAGGGCCGGCCGTGCTGGCCCGGCACAACCGGACAGTGCGGTGCCGGCCCACGGGCCGATGTTAACTACGCCCTAAAACCGTCACAGCCCATACCATGCCAACGGCGCCACCCACTATGGTTTAGCCCGGCTCAACCCCAACCCCGACCCCGAGAGAGAGAGAGAGAGAGAGGCAAGATTAGCACGGATTTACCGGGCTGCTCTTGGCGGGCGTTGGCCTGTCCGTGCTCCTCCGCCATGACAAGCTAAAGAAGTGTATCGATAGACGCTTACGCATCCGCGTCTTATAAGGAGAGTGACGTTCACGAAGAGGACTTTCTCGTTCTTTGGTTGTATCTTCGCTCTTATCTCTTCAGGACATTTGTTTCACTAGGGATGAATTGCTCGGCCGGCCAAGAAAACGTAAAAGTCCAGCCTATCTTGTCTAAGTCCATGTCGTGATGTGACGGATGTTTTGACATTTAGCTATGAACTTCGTTTCCAATGGTACGAATTATGGATGCTTTCGCAGTTAAGACACCTTCAGAAGAAACAACACGTGTACAAATTATACAAACTACAACGTCGTCGTCGAACTTGCCAAATTCTTTATTCTAGTTTAGTCCGACTTTTGGTTGACCGATATTGCGGTACACATAGACATTCGTGGCGGAAAATCGAAGGGACAAATAAGAGAGATTTAGCAAAGTCCGAGAATCACATTGCTCAATTGGAGTATATGCTTGAGGTCGATTTCAAACCAATGATGAGTACATAGCCCTGGTCCAATAACTAAGAGGCTAAAGCCTAGTCGGGTCCTTAACAAATGAGAATGGTTGTTTTAATCTCGATGACAATAAATTGATTTAGTAAAGCCTAAACAGGTTATCTTTTTCGGCCTTCCGGTCCTAACTCCAAATCAGCCCAAATTGGACCCATTTTTAAGTTGGAACATCTTATCATTTATGATCAATCTCCATGGAAAAATAGATGCTTCCTCGAATGTTGATGAATGTTATTGTCATATTTTCCCCCCTAGAAGTTGCATACCATATGATGTTTCTCATGTGAATATGTGGTTCATTAATCTCCATCTGCGGTTCTGAAAGTGAAGTACTCTCTTGGAAATGTTGTGTTGGGCTCTGTATGCTTCTTTATCTAGGTCCATCAAGCCTTTGAGCTATCGGGGGTGTATCCAACTCGGATTCTTTGATTCTAGCAATAGTGCACTCTTCTCGAACTGTCATGTTGAGCTCTATATGCTTCTTCACCTGTTGTCTTTCGGGCTTGTGAGTCAAGTCTCTTGATTCTCAGGGCTTTATATATAGTCAATTATCTTTAAAAAAAATCAAATTTAGATGCATCTTGTATATATTTTACGCAAATCATTATTGCCTTCATGTTTGGTAAATCAACAAGTCTAATTACGGAATCGTGCCAATTGCTCTCGATCCCAGTTTAATTAGGGTTGAAAATTCCACACGCTTTTTTGTACATGAATCATAAATGTATCTGACATGTTGCCCGCTTCGGCATGTTAGTGGTAATACTAGACACGTTTGATTTATTTAGACTATGTAAGCATATTATATGTATCAACACAACATGTTTCGAAACATCATTTTAACATGCTTATATGATAGCTCATCTTCTAATAATGCCGCTCCGCGTGATCCGTTCACTAAATTCATCATAGTTGAGTTGGAAAGTTGCAACATAATTAATTAAAGGTGATCGGTTCCAAGATGAGCCGGTTTCACTCTAGAACCTGAAATTGGATTGGACAAGGTCGGTTCTCAGTTTGTGGAGCCAGGAATCAACCCATCCCATTTCAGGGCCAATCCCAATACCAATAATTCCTTTTTTTGGTTTTTTTTCTTTCTTATATTCCCTATATCTTGTACTCCAAAAGTTTGGTGTTGCCTTTTGCTTGAATTTGGTGATGTTGCTTCCACCATCTACTAGTGCAATTGTGACTGGATTATATTCCGATAAATTCAAATGGTTTCTCCTTCCAATTTGTTCTTTTTTGCATTAGTTTTTATTTGTCCTTTCCATATGCATCTTCTTGGTTAAAGAGCTGCAAGCGGGACTTTCCCAACATTAAAAAAACAGAGCATTATTTTTTGTATTTCGTTAAATAAATGTTTACATGATTGGGGGTGCGGTGCTAATTGAAAGTTTTCCACTGAATTTTGTAGCCATTATTCTATTACATGGTATCGTATCGAAATATGTTAAATAATTAAAAATGCAAATTTATGGACAAACATATTTGTAATTATTACTCTATTTCTGCTGAAGGTCAGAAAAAAAATGCAACTAAGTATCTTTACTTTTTAAGAGAAAAAGAATTATAAAAAAGCATATTAGTCTGGTCCGGTATGGGCAATTCGGTTCCAAACCTAGAATTGGGAATTGGGAAACGGACCGATTCTTGCTAGAACCGTCCACAATCGGCCAGTAAAAATTCGGTTTGGTTCAATTCTTGAGTTGGAATCGGACCGATGCTCAACCCTACAATTAATACATTCATTGTTCTTACGGGACATAAATTTTGACAAGAAACCAGAAATTGCTGACCACATGTTCTATCCTGATTTATAAGTTCTTTTATCCCCAATCTCACTTCTTATAAGATGGAACTGAAACACCTTACTAGGATTATTGCGTCATGTATGCAATTTGTGTAAAGTTTCGATCACAGAAATTTTTTTTTTTGGTTAGAACACACCTTCCCTTCCATCAAAAGTAGTCGAAATATTACAAGGAGAAACTAGAGCCTGCATTAATATGATGAATTAAATAAGACTCCACTAACACTATATTTTAAACTTTCAATGGACGATCATTAAAAAGAAAAGAAGATGCGATTCTCATATGATGAAAAGTCCATTTTGCAAGCTCATGAGCAGCACCATTACTAGTTCTATTGGTCTACTTCAAACTCCATCTTGGATTGTTGCTAAGTGGGAAACAAGAGTCCGAGACAAAATGATGAGACTCTTATGTTCAATAGCATCAATTAAGACCTCACAATCACTTTCCATAACCGCGTTGAGGATGCCGAGGAAATATAGCTTCCACTTCCATTGTCGAGTTCCATCTTCCTCGTCTTGCCCACACTTGGACAACTGAAACTCTATCCGATCGTGTGATAATACCTATGGCCCCTTTGTTATTCTTCCACGCGCATCATCTACATTAAACTTCAACCTCCACGCCCCTTAGTTATCGTTCATGGAAGTTAGTCTCAATGATTGCCGTGCCTTTTTTTGAAGTATGCTAGCTTTGTACGATAGAGAAGTTCATACTATAATCAAACCGGCTGTGTGCCCTCACTTCTCACTCATGAATGCTCTCAAGAATGGTTCCCAGAAGAGAATTTCTAACAGAAACTGATGAAAGCAAAGAACAAAGGTGATAAGTGGATAAGAAATGGAATTGCGAGAATGGCGCGATTCCTCTGTTCATCTTTTCGAGCTCACACATATGTAGGAGCAGAACGCAGACACACACACACGAACTCCTTTTTAGAAGTCAAAGCATTGAAGCGAGAGACGACAGAAACATGAACCCTGCAAAATGTCGTTGAATGGTTGATGCTTATGGACGCATAAAGCTGCTTCGTGGTTATAAATTGCATGGTGTTGGTCAGATCTCTTGGTGGTGGTCCCGCTGGATTGGGCTGTAAAAAGCAGAGCAGAGCAGACCAAAAAGTGCGTGGCTGCATGTAAGAGAATTTTGCTGGCTACGTGGGTGCGCTACGTGAGAAACTTAGAATGCTTCTCTTATTATTATTATTTTATTTTTCAAATTTTTAAGTAAATGTTAGATTTTGAGCTTTGAGAAAATAGGAAATTGTTCGTTTAATGGTTTCTTGCTAGATTCGAATTTGTATAGTGGTGACACAAAGGAAATAACCTCGAAGTTTTTTCTTTCTGTGCAATTAAAGTTATGAATTTAATTGTTAGCTTGCAATGTTGAATAAGGAACGAGAATAATTCACGCACGTGCAGCGCGCACGCACGAAAGCTAATCTATCTCCTTCTTTTTTTTGTAACCCAGGGAACCCCCGCACGGCCGACAGCCGGGGAGTAAACCCTGGGGGCGACACGTGCTAGTCACCATACACGTGCCACCGGTTAAGTCACCCTGCGGCGCCCGGGATTCGAACACTCAACCTTTTTCGAGAGGAAGAGTGCGCGCTCCAGCAGCGCCACCCAGGCGGGTGGCGCTGGATAATCCACTCATGTTTTCGTTACAATGGAGTGACCAATGGAGTGACCAACTTCGTGGATTAAATAGATGAGTGGATTATAAAATGGATAAAAACATAAATTGAGGATCAATGGAGTGACCAACATCTTTCAAGTTACATGCCACTGTATTTATGTTTTTATCCATTTTACAATCCACTCATCTATTTTACTAGGGCCATTATAATCCACTCATCTATCTTTCTACTTGCAAAAATAAAAAAACAATACCATTTATCTCACTCTTAGTATTTTCGTTACAATGGCCCTAGTAAAATAGATGAGTGGATTATAAAATGGATAAAAACATAAATACAGTGGCATGTAACTTGAAAGATGTTGGTCACTCCATTGATCCTCAATTTCAATCATTCTGTCTTTTCACCATGTTCTAATCGGTTTTTCGCACCTTCAAAAGTGAATAATTTTGCATGTGCATGGCACGAGCTTGTCCACTAGTTTTATGGGATAATGACACATATGGTCCAAGAATTTTGATCCAATGTGCAATATGGTCCATGAACTTTTACTTTATTCAATGTAGTCCATGGACTTTTGGTACATGTTCAACTAATCCTTAAATATGAAATTGTTCAATATTTTTCTTTCATTAATTTAAGTTTAAGGACAACATTAAACATTTTCATTTAATTTAGGGACTAAATTGAACATGTACCAAAAGTTCAGGGACTACATGGAACAAATTAAAGTTCAAGGACCACATTGCCCATTAGACTACAATTCATGGACCACATTGAACAAATTAAAAGTTTAAGTACTACATTGCATATTAGGTCCGGGAACCATTTGTGTCATTCCAATAACTAAAGGGAAAAGTGAGTTTTGTCTCACTTGTTGGATATGCTTAAATTACCCTCACATTAGATAATAGAAAGACAAAAAAGTACATAATCAACACATCTCCTAGTAGCTTCCCACCTCAACAGGTTCCTCGTGCAACTACTCATTTTCGTTCCTCCACACATTATTTAGCTGCGTGCACGTGTGTTGTCCGTGCCAAAACAATTGTATATTTATTAAATTAAACTAGAATGATAATGAAGATAACCCGATGTGTAAAGTTCACCCATGATCGAGCCAAGTGAAAAAGCATTGACACCTTGATGGGTTGCAGGTTCAGAATACGATCATAGCGTAATAGCCATTACATGTTCGATTTAAGTAATGTAATACGTTTTACGCATTGGCTTAATGAATAGTATATGTAATAGGAGATGAATAGTATTAGAAGCCAGGAATAACCCTAGAATCAAAACTCACAAGGAATATAACAATTATCACTTTAATAACTAGTCAAGAGTTTAATTCTCCATATATAGTATCGGTTATTTCAATTTACTATATCAATGTTTATTTAATCAAACAAATTGGAAACACTAAAAGCCAAAATTAAATAATAAAAGTCAATATATGACGTACATAATGATAAAGTGGTACCAAATAAGTGAAACTCCGACGACTTGGAAGATAGAAACTCCATCCTGGATGAAGCTTTTTTGACAACCCCTTCTGAGGAGTAAGTTCAAGTTATTATGCTATGGATTGGCTATGGATTCAGTCTTATATATTGTAACCTAGGAAGTGCTATAATAGCCGATGTGTTTGGTAAATATGTGTTTTACATACAACGGCGACTCTTCAATGATCCTGAAAGTTGCTGTAAGCTGTTGCAATTCTGAGGATGCTCCATCATGCCGAACACCTTCCAAAACCCGCGACGCCCTTTTTAACGGCTTTATGTTGGTCCCGCGGAAGCCGTACTACACAGGTTCGAAGTCACGGTCTTGCCTCTCAGGTTTGTTAATTCTACTTCTCCAAAAGACTTTTTGGAAGCGATTTGCATGTCGAATAGTCGTGAAAAAAAAAGAAATTTCCCTTAAAACAAATTGGAAAAATTGATTCAGCGCTAGCTTTTTCGTAGATTGAGCCGTCAATTAGGAAGCAGAAACCGAGAGCCATAAGTGGTCTTACACAGGTTTCAATCATAGCGAAACGGAAAAGAGACTGGTTAGATAGAAATGGGATAACTGCAAAAAATTCCTGAACTTATTGTATAGTGGCCGATTGAGTCCTAAAACTTTCAATTATGCCAATTTAATTCTAAACCTTTTGACAATTTACAATTTAGTTCAAAATATTTCGATTATATCAATTTAGTCCTAAATCTTTTAAAAATTTTCCAATTTAGTCATAAACCTGATATTTGGATATTTTATCGAAAGAACTACATTAGCAAATCGTCAAAAGATTTATGACTAAATTGGCAAATCAACAAAAAGTGTAGGACTAAATTGACACGTTTGAAAGGTTTAGGATTGAATTGGCCTATTGTCCGAAAAGTCCTAAATCTATTATACTTTTGTCAATTCAATCCTAAATTTTTCAATTTTGTCAATTGAGTTCTAAACATTTTCATATTTTGCCAATTGAGTTCATCCGATCAATTTTAACTATAAATCGCTGACGTGAACATCCGCCGTCCTACATTACGCGACTAGCACTAAGGTGGACAAATTTTAATAATAAATTAATAATATTTTTCAATTTCGTTTTTTTTTCTATTTCTTCTTCCTATAGTCGGTCTTCGAACGCGAACCTAAAATGATAAAAAGTAAAAGGGAAAAAGCCACCAAAAACCCCAAACTTTCCCACCTGTGACAAATTTACCCCGAACTTTTTTTTGTGACACCAAAAATCCCAAACTTTGCTATTTGTGACACATTTACCCCCAATGCATTTAGTCCATGGGCATTTTCGTCTTTTTGCATTTTTTTTTTTTTTTTCCTTTCCGGCGAGGGGGCCCTTGCCGGCGTACGCGAGGCGGCCCTCGCGACTCGAGCGAGGTCGACCCTCGCCGGCGTCGGTGTGGTCGACCTCGCTCGAGTCGGGCGAGGCGGCCCTCGCTCGCCCGAGCGAGGGCAACCCTCGCCCAACGCCGGCGAGGGCCGCCCTCGCCGGCGTTGAGCGAGGGCGACCCTCACCCGATCTCGGCGAGTGCTACCCTCGCCGGCGTCGGGCGAGGGTCACCCTCGCTCGGGTGAGCGAGGCGGCCCTCGCCCGGTCTGGCGAGGCAACCTCGCCGGCGTCGAGCGAGGGTCGCCCTCGCCGGCGTCGGCGAGGGCCGCCTCGCTCGCCCGGCGCAGGGTCTCCCTCGCCCGGATCGGGCGAGGGCCCCCCTCACGGATCCGGCGAGGGCGCCTCGCTGACGCGCGAGGCCCCTCACGGAAAGGAAAAAAAAAAGAAAAAGCAAAAAGACGAAAATGCCCATGGACTAAATACATTGGGGTAAATGTGTCACAAATAGCAAAGTTTGGAGTTTTTGGTGTCACAAAATAAAGTTCGGGGTAAATGTGTTACAGATGGGAAAGTTTGGGGTTTTTGGTGGCTTTTTTCCAAAGTAAAAATGTTTATGATCACGTGAGCAGGAGAAGGAGGAGGAGAGGGGGACTACACGAAAGGACACGACAGCTGCGGTCCGCGAAAGAACGAGTGTGGGGACCCCAACCTGTCCTGTCCCAACCAATCAGCACTGCTCTTTCCCCATGCTTGCGCGAAACAACGCATGCACGGTTTTAATTGCCGGCATGCAATTCGGTGCCACCGTCTGCAGGTGTCCCCAGCGTAATGTGAGCTCTCAGATCGTGTTGTCCCCACGCGGTGACCGTCGAATATCAAAGGCTGCGCTGCGTTGGGCTCACGTATGGCCTGGAGCACCCGAGATTGTTCACAGTAAGACCCCATCTCATCATCGTCCCCATCATTCCTCGTGCTCTCACGCAATTGGTTCACTGCGGTCAAAAATTAAGGCCACGAAGGAAATATCTCGATCGGGCCTCTCGGCATTTACCCCAGTTCATGTCGAACGTGTAGTTTTTATAACTCTCCCGCTCTCTCTACTTGTAACCACCATGTCCACGTACTACTTCCTCTCGTTTTCCTATAAGTTGGCTAACTGTACAGTTTCTTGAGGACCAAACCTCTCCCTTTCGATCAAGTACGTAGAGAACAGGGGAACCACTGTTCAGTTGTCTGTGCGATATGGATAGCTTGCTCTGTGATGAGAAATGGGTCGTGAGCCCTTACTCGGCCTCCGATTGTTGCGAGCACGAAACGTTCGAGATGTCGGGCGGTTCGGAGCGTACCGGTTGCGGTGGTTCCCGGTTCGGTATGACCCAACAAGAGCGCGATGCGGCAATCGCCGTTTGCTTGGAGAAGGAGATGGGTTGTATGCCTGGGTCTGGTTTTGTGGAGTGTGTGGAAGCGAAAGGTTTGGTCTTTGCTAGGACCAGAGTCATGCAATGGCTTATTAAGGTTTGATAAGTAGCGAGTGCATAGAACCACCATTTTACTTGTGAACAAAGTTTACTGTCTAGCTGTCAATTTGGGTATCTTCTTGATAAGTACTTGAACTTGTTTCTCTCCTTCTCGTTTTGTCTTCTCAGTGTCGAAGTAGATTGAAGCTGTCTTATAGTACAATATTTCTGGCAGCGAACTACTTCGATCGACTCATCTCCATTTGTAAGTGCCAGGTAGGAAGTATTTTTTTTTAGCTTTTCTGGCAATCGAGTGATGACGACTTGAGTTTTTTCCCAAGGGACGACTATCCTCTCAAATAGGGCATAGTTCCATTCGCATATTAGTCAACCCTGCATTACACAAAGTTCTGTAAGCATAGAGAGCACCTATTAGTGTTAGATTTCTTATATGCTTGAATAACATTACTTTATCGTGTCATTTATCGCATAGATTGTTAGTTTTTCAACGAAGAAGCGAGATTAAAGCCAAAAACTAATTCGGTCTGGTTAATGTATTGGGATTTATGTCGTTCAAAGGTTATAAACAGATTAGATGTACGCGTAAACCCTTGATACCTTCATTTCTTCAAAACTCCCGTGTGTTGAATTTCCAGGAATGGCAACTCTGGATTGCGGAATTAGTATCCATTGCGTGCTTGTCGGTCGCGTCAAAGTTCAACGAGACCCTTAGCACACTTTCGATACATGAAATTCAGGTGACGACCACCATCATCCTATTGGTTTGTGTCTATTAATCTGGTTGTTTTGAGGGTTCCTTTTATTTTTAGCTGTTTACAAATTGCTAATGCATTGTGAAGATGGAGGATCTGGACCATTCTTTCCAGCCAAGCACCATCCAACGGATGGAGTTGATGCTACTGCAGATGTTAGGATGGCGTCTGGTTCCCATCACTGCATATTCTTACGTGGAACTGCTGACGTGTAATGGCAACTTCTTGACATCTCATCTTCACGAGCAGTTCATTACGAAAGTCAATGACTTGCTCCTCCATTCGCTTATGGGTATAGCATCTGGTCTCTTCAAATTTATAGTACCTCGATGGCCAAAACAGAGAGAGAAAAATCACACTTTGAGAATATCATGAGAATAACATTAACTTCTGATCCTCTTATCCAAATTAATCCGATCACCATGAGAATAACATGAACTTCTGATCTTCTTATGAGCAACACGTAGAAAATTAAGCCACCCGAAAGACTAATCGAATTGTTACAGATATCAATTTCGCGGAGTTTAGGCCAAGTGTTATTGCTGCATCTGCTTTTCAATGCGGATTAGACAATGTATTGACATTGTCATCGACTGTGTGTCTCACTAACTACATCCACCAAATCGTCTGTCAAGATCAAAGGGTAAGGATCACATGATACTCAAAACTTTGGTGTACTTATTTGAATGAAGTTATTGTTCAGTTGATGACATTGTTAATCCAATATCAGGAGATTGATTTGATGAAATGCCAGAAGCTTATGGAAGTTTGGTTAGCCAGTGAATGCTTCAAAGCAATTGCTTGCGGGAGTTTCAGCTGCTACCCTTCGAGTCCGGTCACTGTTCTATTGGCCAAGCGGATCGATGTTAATGACGATCACGTTGATCTCTCTATTTTCATGGTGCAAGCAAGGTCATGCATCGGCATCACCAAATCGAAGAAGACAAAGAGACTAAGGAAAAGCATCAGTTGAACAACTTCAAGTTAGAACGACAAGTGAACATAGAATTATATGCAATAACCTTGGGTTGCTACAAATTGCCAATCCATGGAAGGCAAGCTGAACTACTTCATTTGATCAGATTTTTACGTAACAAGTCATTGTTAACTTAATGAGACATCAAGTCACGCATCTTGGCGCTCAGCAGTATGAGTCTTGACTTCTGTTATATGTTTTGGGGCTACTGGAATTGTCTATCCACCCGTTCATATATGCTTTGCCGGTTGGTACTCCATTAGTAATTCATGCTTAACATTCTCAAATTGCGGCCATTGATCTACCAGTCTAAGACCACCACTGAGCAAGGGATGGCACAAGCTTGATGAGGGTGTAGTTAAACTACGAAGGCAGAGGCTTAAACTACGAAGGCAGAGGCTGGAATGTTTGTGTTGAAACTGATGCTGCCACAGTTCACAGAATTACAACTGACTAATGGGAGGAAGCTGGAAAGCTAATGAAGAAAGTATCTCCACAGTATTACCATCTTTTTAGTTAATTCAAAAACTAATGAACGTGCAAATTAGGTGGCTACTTTCTGTACAAGGGAGGTGAGCAACTTAGTCTGGGATTCTTATCCCCCACCTCCTCTACATAAGTTGCTTGAGGCTGATCTTTATACTAAGCTACCATGATGTAATGTAAAATCTGCAAGAATTTTGTGTGTTGCCCACTAAATGTGGAACATGTTTGGTCCACCGGAAAATGGAGTGGAAATATAAAAATCGAATCAATGAGATGTCGGCTAAATTGTCTGGTTCACAAAGAATTGACTTACTTAATTAAGTGCACTTGGTTGGGTTGGCATTAATTGAACTTAGGTCATCATGGTAGTGTTGAAGTATCCCGCATCGCTTGACATTGACATTTATATGCCATTTATAGACATGTAATCTCTCTCCACCTAATTGCTTAAGCTTTTGTATTGAACATTCTAACGTAGTAACAAGGTCAGGTTCCGCCCTTTCGTCCACTCTCGTTAGTTGAATTCTACGAGGAGGTTGTTGTTTCGGTTATTGTTTCAACATACGGCAGTTGCTATTGATTTTGACTCTTCAATAGTCGGTTGTGAGTCGCTACCGATCAAACCGAGTGGCCTTTTTTAAACCCTACATAGCATCAGCATAAGTAGAGTCATCACTAGTTGAACTTTAAATGTCATTAGTCAGGCTTAGCCAAGTACTGGCCAGGCGCTGTTTGCCACCGGACAATCTCGTATCAGTGATGCTACGAGCTCAGGCTCGCCTTTAGTTGCTCTCCATAGGCAATTGAAACTCACCGACAGAAAATCTTGCGCTATTTAACTTTTAGGAAAAAAAAAGCCACCAAAAACTTCAAACTATTCTCATTGTGACACATTTACCCTAACTTTTTTTCAGTGACAAAAAATCTCAAACTTTTACCTGTGTGACACATTGTCGCGACCGACCTCCATTTTTTTTCAACATAAAAAAAAGGGGTCTCGCTTGATACGTGCTAAGTCTAGGTTCGAGACTTAACTCGGACTCTCCCAAGCCCATACCATATCGCGACTTAGGGTTTAGGTTTTTAACCTGCAAGTGATTTATATCAAGGAATCGCTACTAATCAATTTGGGGTGGATCGATTAGAAACCCAGATAAGGTGATGGGAGAATCACCATATTCCTACGAACCAGAGATTAAATGAGTTCGGGGAATTGGTTACACTAGTTGGATAACTAATACCCTTTCGGTACCTTTTTACCCTGTTCATTTCTGAAAACATTTGTCAGGCAATTTGCATTGATTTTAGGACCTTTCTCTTAACATGTGAGGTGATCAAATGGGTGCATAATCATAAACGATTAGCAGTCAAAATAGATATATGCAGCCTAAGGTTCTAACCCTAACTAAGGCGGATAATAATCAAAACATAATAATTCATGCAATTATATTCTAATTGAAAACATGCATAATAATACAACAATAATTTAAAACACTCAGGTATATCACATAATTTAGAAAAATATTAGACAATACTATATCTAAATTATATCCTAAATTTTAAAAGAAAGAAAAAAAAATTAAAATTTTTTTAAAATTTTTTTTATAGAATATTTTTATTTAAAAAAATATTTTTTAATAAAATAATAATATAATATTAAAAATCGGGTCGGGTCAGCGGATCCGGGTCGTCTGATCTAACTCGGGTCAACGAATCTGACCTAGGACGTTGACCAGGGTCAACGGATCCGACCCATCACGTTGACCTGGCTCGGATCTCTGGATCCGACCCGAGTGAGGGGGTCAACCCGGGTCATTGACCCGGGTATGGATCGGATCGGGCCCGGTTGGCACTCGGTCTGGTGGATAAAGACGAAATAGGGCCGGTTCGACCGGGTTGAACCGGCCGTATTTCGCTTGCAAACAGGTCCAACCGGTCTAGGGATGGCTCCCGCGTGTCTGGGCACGCGGGAGCTTCGGCCGACGAGATCCGGCGATCTCGCCGGACGACCCAGGCCACCCATGGCCTGGGTCTTCAACCCACGAACCCCACCTACCTTCTCTGGTGACTGGGTCCGCCGTCCGACTGCTTGTTCACCGGCCGGCGGCCAAAAACAAAGCAGCCTCTTTGAGGCATTTCATCGAGCAGATGGAGGGCACAGCAAAAATCGAGGGACTTCAACCTCTTCCGACGGTCCGGTAGGCCCCGGCGGCTGCGGTTCGCCTTCAATAGCAAGTAGGGGCCGGGACCGACGACGGTATGGGCCGGGATTCGCGCGAAACAGCCGGGGCGAGTCCCGGCCAAACCGTACCAAAAAATAGGGGAAAACAGAGGGTTGTCTCGGTCGGGAAGGCTCACCGGTTGGCGACGCGTCCGAGCGGTCTCCGGCTGATCTGGGGACGACGGCGACGCTGCTGGTTCTCCTTCCTGCTCCGGCGTGACTTCGGTACGCTCTATTTCTCTCTCTGTTCTCTCTCTTCTCTCTCTGTTATGTTTCTCTCTCAAAAATGGCCGACCCCCTCTCTCTCTCTCCCTCCGGCTTATATAGCCGACGACGACGGGCCACTCTCTGCTCCATTACGCATGCTGACGATGGCCTGCACCGGCCTACTCCTATTCGAGACTTTTGTGGCCAATTTAGGCCGGTGCAGGGGGGGCCGGTCCTGATGCCGTGAAGAAGAGAGGAAGAAGGAGGAGAGGAGACCGGGAAATCGGGGAGGACGGGACTGGCCATCAATGCCAGTCCCGTTGGCGTGCTTCCCTGGCCTTCTTCTGGCCTGATAGGGATGGCGAGGGCCGCTCCGCCGTTGATTGCTCTGGACGGCCAAATGCAGGGGAGAGCAGGGGAGAGAGAGAGGCCGGTGCGGGGGAAGAAGAAGAAGAAGGGAGCTGGGCCGAGCCAAGCCCAGCCCGTGCGGGGAAAAAGAAAGAAAAAAAAGAAGGGTGGGCTGGGCCCGCGCAGGGGGGAAAGAAAAAAAGAAAAGGGTCAGGTCGACCCGGCCCCAACCCGACCTAACTCGGATTTTTTTTTTAAATTTTGAATTTTTTTTAAAATATTCTAATAGACTCTATTAATACAAATGTGCCTAATTTCTATATGCAATGCATTTAAATAAAAATATTTTTTTTGTTTTAGGAATTAAAGAAAATTAACTCCTAAATTTTGTGCGATTAATTTTTGGGCAAATTAAAATAGGTGTCAACAGCTGCCTCTCTTTGAAGGTGAGCTCGCAGAGGTTGAGCTCGTGGAGATTACGTTTAAAGATAAAATGACACCTAAATTTGGCCCATGCATGCTCAATGAATGCTATTTTTGGCGAGACCGTGAGTCCCATTTTTATGATGCGATAAGATGATGCATGCTAAAGCAAATAAAAACATACCTGGGGCTACTTACCTCGCCGAAGGGTAAAGTAATTCAAGATAATTAGTATCATGTGTCGAGGACTCGGGCCTATCTTCAGTCGCCTCGACTGAATTTCATTCGTCTAGGACTCGAACCTATCTTCGATCGCCTTGGCGAGGAAAATTGTTTGTCTAGGACCCGAACCTCTTTTCGGTCGCCTCGACTGGATTTCGTTTGTCTAGGACCTGAACCTTTCTTCGGTCGCCTTGACTAGATTTTGCTTTGCCAAAGTACTTGCATCTTATGAGGGGTACCTGAAAAGATTTGATGTGAACAGAGGGGGTTAATCCTATGTTAAGGAGGGGTACCATAATAATCGTAGGTACATGGTGAACAAAGGGGTCAGTCCAATGTTCAGTTGGTGAACAGAGGGGTCAGTCCAATGTTCAAAGGGTACCATAACAATCGTAGGTACATGGATTTTTGGAACCGGGCATGGGTAGAATATACTTACCTGGGCACGTTCCTGCCTCTTAAGGGCATGTCTCCTATCAGGCAAGTTTTTTTGTGCAAAGACATATGCATTTATCGGAGAAATAAACAACTAAGGCTATTCTAGAATATCGTATGAAATATCTTGACTGCAAGTCAAGATGCTTTTCTTTTTCAAAGAAACACCGGTTTATGTTCTGGGTAGTTTGAAAAGAATTCTGATGAAATACCTAGAGTTTCTTACCCGGAGGTTTGATGCATCATCTGCTGAATACTCGACCTTTTTCGGGACATCTCTCTTGGGATGATAATGAGGGCTTCTCCAGCACTCGAATTTTCGTGTCCTATCACTGGGGGTTAAAACTCTGAGCTGTAAAAGCATGCTGTGTTAATTCCACTCGGGGAACAGAAGAGTTTTTTTTTTTGGGACATCTTTGGAGACGCTCCAAAGGTCATATGTTCTTTGAGTCTTTGAGGACATTTTACCTGTCAAAGACGATTAGCGCAAACATGCATGCATTCATCAAGAATAGACAAGCTAGGCTATTCCAGAATGTGTATTTAAAAGTTCATGCAAGATGATTTTGCCATGTTTGCATCACCAAACATCCACCGAGGGTAATTATCAATCAAGACAATTTTCGCTCGCAAGGTGGACTTTCTCGAGATGATGAACGAGGGACCTTCAGTCAGAAAGGACTTTCCACTCACTCTCATTTGAAAAGGATTGTTTGTCCCGACTATTAAGGCGGGAACATCGAAAACACTCAATCTGACTGTTATCACATCAACAAGGGTCTGATTTTTCTCGCAAGCGGTACGAT